GACATGTAATGTATGCCATGTTTTGCTGAGAACAAATTTATCTCACGTTCTAGATGAATACCTCGCAAGACCGCAAGCGCTCTGTCAAGTTCGAAAAGCGGGAGAGCGATGGTGAGATAGGAGAGCCATCAGCCCAAGGATGGCCATGATGGTCATCGTGGTGTCCATTCTGCAAATTGTAATCTGAAAAGTAACATTCTTTGTAGCAGAACTTTTTCACAGGGAAGTTTGAAACAGAAAATTCCAGAATGCTCTCACAAGGAATTCAACTTAGCAGAATTGTCTATTGTCAAAAAAATATTTTTCATTCAACGAAGGTCGAAGGAAAGAAATTGCGTACCGCAGGCGCTCTTCAAGGTTTCTTGGAGTAAAAAACGGCTTCACGTAACTTGAACGAGCCTTCAGCCGAGAACATTCTTGCATGTGTCGAAACACCGTCGTCCTTGGAATGTTGCACGCATGAGCAAGAGCTCTCATCGTCTGCTGCGAGGCCTGGGGCACTTGTCGTATCGCGTCTTCGATGTCATCACTCGTGCGCGTTTTTTGCGACCATAATTCCCTAAAAAGTACATTTTTGGTAAATGAATAATCTTCAAATTCAATAATCATATAGATTGATAGATGTATACCTCGGATTTTTGATGCAACATCGTCACAAATGTGGCCCGCTCGGATGGAGCTCCGTCCACGTGCCCATACGCGAGACACGGTGTCGGGGTGGCATACGTGCTGCTTGGCAAGCTTTCGATGGCGCCACGAGGCAGTGTGCCAGATGACGAGACGGCAAGCAGGCTCTCATAGATCGAGCGCCGCTCTTCATGGTCAAGGTGGGTTTTGCCACCTTTCGGCCCACGGGGGTTGCGCGGGCGGTCGGCAATGACGGCGGTGGGCTGCGATGGCATGGCTCAGTAAAGCTTGATGGCTGTGTGCTGCGTGTGCTTGCTGAAAATGAGTTGTGATGATACGGCAATGTGTCAAATTTTGGACCAAAGGACACCCGATATTTCGCGCCCAATATCTCATTAACCGAAAAGCTCTAGAACGCTCTAATACTACCCAATCAAAGCAGAGATCTTGTGCTTTCTTGTACACCAATCAGCTCGTAATTTGAGCGACACTTAGAGAAATGCCGCCAATCGGACGACGTACCCTGCAACTATTTTGGAACAGAGTAGTACAGTGTAGTAGCTAGAAAACAGCCCCACACGGGCTAGCTATCGCCATATTTTTTGACTTGCCTCGCCATTTCGGCTCGGCAAGTAAACCTCTAGCCTCGGAGTTGCGCACTCTTTGTCTGACTGGGAGATCGTGTGGACGGCCGCCAGGGTCTTGTCGGTCGAGGCAACCATGGTCGATACCGGGGCGACGAAAGGTCGTAGAGGCTTGGTGTGGACCAAGAAAGAGGACATGTCATTGGTTCGTGCCTATGTGGCCGTATCCCATGATCCCGTTGTTGGAAACGGGCAGAAATCAAGCACGTTCTGGAATCGTGTGTTTCAAGAGTTCGAACGCCTCGTTCCCGAGACAAAGTGAACTTCGTCCGGTCTGCCGCATCGCTGGAGTACACTGCATAAGGTCATCGCCATGTTTTCTGGGTATTTCGCGAAGATGGAGGACAAGGCTGAATCCGGCAAGCCTACCATGATCAGGTAGCGGACGCGTTGTTCACGTATCAGTCAATTGAAGGCAGAGAGTTCCGGCATCGAGACATCTTGAATTATCTTCGCCGCGAGTCGCCCAAGTTCTTCGATGTCTAGCAGCCGCGAGAGTACAGAGATCGTCGATGTCGATGACACGCAGTCAGTAGTCCAAAGCTCGCTGCCGTCATCTCCAATGACCGTCCTATGGGCACCAAGAGAGCCAAGCTTGAAGCCAAACAGGTCGAGATCGAAAAGGAAACCAGCGCTGTAATTGTCGAGTTCGTCAAGGAGAAACGTGAGTTTATGAGCAGGATTGCTGACAGTGTAAAAGACCCAACGGCGGACACCCAGAGAGCTAGCGCCGCCAAAAGTGACGAGACGGCGACAAACCAACGAGAGTTAGCGCTATTCACAATCAACATCAACACGTTAAATGATGACGCAAAGGATTATTCTGTCGGCGCTTCGGCAAGTAAAGGACAAGCACGATGTCCCAGGTACCGGAAGGAGAAGCAGAGTAGTATGGACGTTAGTAAATCATTTGCGACCGTGTTCTGCTCAACAATGTGCAACAAGGTCGTTCCTTAGCTGATGGTGATCAGCGCTGTCTAGTTTCGACCGGATGTGCTCGACCTCTTGCGCTAGACTCACCGGTTTTGCTTCTCTTGGTGGACGTACCATTACGAACGGCAGCTCTTCATCACTGTTTCTGTTCCTTCGACGTTTACGGGGCGGCTCTCTCGAAATCGATGAGGTGATAGGTTTCCTACTCTTCCTTGGCAATCATGTTATGGAGGTTACAACACGCCGTGATGATCATGACCATTTTCTCGAGCGTCCAGAACCGAGAGGGTCGTTTCACGATGACAAAGCGACCATGAAGGATACCGAAAAGCGTTCAACGTACTTTATGAAGGACTCCTGGAGCGTTGCAAAGTCCTGGCGATCGGCAGTGAGTCAGATCTGAGATCGTCTTGACAAAGGTTGATCATTCTGGGTAGATTTCGTCAGACAACCAATACGGTGTCCGATATGTCTTGCCCTTAACGACGAATTCTATTCTCGGCAGCCTTCCGAAGGTGATATCATCAAGACAAGTGGAACGCTGGAGCACGTTGATATCGTTCGTTGGTCCCGGAACACCAGCAAACGCATGCCATACTCAAGTCCGACGATCGACGATTTCTTCGAGCATCACGGCTGTGCCCTTGTCCCCAGTGTAAGCACCTTTGAAGGCGGATGGACACTCCATTTCCAGGCATAGCAGTCAATGGAACCGACCATGCTGGGGAACTCGCGTTCGTCGCTATACTTGAGAATCTTCTTTCGCTAATCAGCGGTGGGCGAGCGCAGGTATTCGGGACCGAAGCGATCGATGACTGTCTGGCAGAAATGGACAAGCGCAAGGTCGGCCGTTGATTCGCCGATGCGAACATTTTCATTACTAGCGTCAGCAGCACATCCGTACGCGATGATTCGCATGGCAGCGACAACTTTCTGCAGAGTCGATAGACCTGGTTTTCCTGTGACTCAGTCGTATTTCTCGTGAAACCAGGTATCTTGTTCAAGGACGCCGTACATGATTCTCAAGAACAAACATTTCTGCATACGGAAGCGCCCCCTGAACAGGCGATCGTTGTACACCGGGTTAGCAGAGAAGTAATCGCGAATGATCCATTCCGTGCCATCTTCAAAGTCGCGTTCAGCGTTCGGCTTGCGACCGGGTCTAGACCTGCCAACTATGTGTTTCTGCTTCTTGCTCATCTGGTGGCCCCAGGCTAGCTGAAGAAACTGGATATTGGCCGCAAATGCCTGTGCAATTGACGCCAGTGCTCCCAGTGACTTGGGATCCAAGATCACAGCCGACGACCAACGTGCAGTGAATGGGGATCCTGCCGAAGAAAATTAGCAATGGCTTGCACCGGATGTGGACTGGGAAAATAGCAATTGCCAAAATTGCTGCAAAACGGACATTTTAGCTATGGCGATGGCTAACCGGGTGGAAATGCTCTGAACAAAGTATACATTATCAAACCCTAATAAAAAACGACGGAAATCCTACCGTATTGCACGACCATACTTTTGGAATATTTATACATGGGCGTCCACAATCATCCTCATTAAATTTTAAAAAAATTGGACAATCTATGGCAATATATTCCAAGTCGAAGCACATGTTATGATTCTACTTGATCAATAACCAAACACTTCATTTGATACTGTACTTAGTTTACTACTATCCTAATGTTTTTATGGTGTTATCCTATCATGATCACGATCAACCGAGGTGCATAAGTGGTCAAAGTAAGTGCCATTTGGATGGCTGGTTGGTGCCCGCTGTCATTCGCTGCGACCCCCTCTTAACCAATACTCTATCATTCAATAGGGACGTTTAGCAAGTCCGGAATCCCAAGCCCCCGGACTTGAAATTCGATTCGAACTCCGAAGAATTCAGACTTTGCTTGAAGGCTCGTCTGGAAAGTGGGGGGGTGGTTTACAGACTTTCTGCCCCGAAGTCTGTGAAGTGCCATAGCTATTCAAATTGAGCTGTGGCAGGGTGATGTACTGTACATCTACCTTCCTCAGCTCAAGTCGATGGGAAAACATTTGCAAAAGCAGCTCGCTTGGAGCACCGAAATGGACCTCGCCTTGCTTAGGTAAGTTCTTCGTATCGAGCCTTATGATGGCGAGTACGGCACACTCACGCTCCGCTGGAAGATGGTTGCCACAAACCTTTCTGCGTGTCTTGGGATGGAAATTTCTCACCGCTCGGCACGAGATCACTATGACGACATGCTGGATGCTTTCAAGAAAACGGACAAGTTTCAACGGCTCAGAGGGACTGGTAGCGAAGAAGTGGTGTCCGAGCAAGTGCTGCACTTACAGGATCTTGTCGACCGCCGGGAGGCGAGAGACGAGGAGAAGAAAGCGAAAAAAGAAAAGGAGCAAATACGACGCGATTCGCTGGAATCCACAGGGTCGCAATTTTGCCTCGAGGCCGAGCAGCGGGTTGCCAAGCGACAACGAACAGCCAGCAGTGCGACGAAGAAAGAAGAGACCGACCCTTGCCTTTTGGAACTTCTTGATTTCGAAAAGCAAAGACACTCTGACGAACATGCGTATAGAATGAAGCGCCTCGAGTTCGACAAGGAAGAACAAAGAATTCGTTTGGCTCAAATGACCGAGAGCGCAAAGCGCAATGATCAACTTGAGCGTTTGTTGATTGAAGTGGGAAAGTTAATCCAAGTTGTTGCTGAAAAATCGAAGTAAGAACATGAACAATTATGATTGAGTGATTTCACTCCATGTTAACATGCAAATATTCCTCAAATGTTGGAGGTGATAAACCAAAGTACACGCTATTAGTATTGCGACCTCTATTACAGGTGATGCAGTTAGTTAACAATACAGCAACTTTGTACAACTTGGATATTGGGCTATTGCCAACTCGCCTTTTTTTTAAGTCGACAATCGGTTATTACTGTAAAACCTGTCCAAGTGACCACTCCACACTTATTCGCACCCGACTCATGCTTTTGTTCACTTGCTTTTGAGGATCTGTCAAACAAGCTCCGCCAAACGGAGAGGCCAACTGGTTGGAATAGCCGTAGGCTGGGTCTCCATAGACGACAAATCCTCGAAACTGGTCATTATTGGCAATGATATTTTCCAAGTTGGATTGACGCGAAATGACCAGATCATGGCGCCGACCTTCGATAGGTCCAAATGCATGTGCAATCGTACCATCGGGTGCCACAAGGGTTTCATATTTCATGGCGTGGCGTCGCTTGTGTCCATTAAACACAGTCCGTTGTCTTTCATTTCCATCTGGCCGACAGCATTCGCGCACGGTCCCATCAATGAATGCCCAGACGTTCTCGACTTCTGCACCCTTGGCCATGACGGCTTGGCTGAACTCCATCAATTTGGTACAAATGCGGTCCCGGTCGAGATATACGATTTCGGCAAAGTTGGAGTAAATGAGGTCCAGCATGTGCAAGATGTTGCAGAGGCCACTTCTGGAACGACCGAACATCGTGATGAGGTCTGACCAACGATCAGGAACTGCAAAACGGCGCAAGAGAATGCAGAGAGCCTCGACGCCCGTGCATGCAGTTCGCTCTTGTGTGACAACACGAAGTGGGATCCGTAGGTAGTTGACGAGGGCAAGCAACGTGGATTTGGATAATTGGAACTTGCATAAGCAATCGTTGTCGGTGAATGAGTCCAAAGTGAAGGTGACATTAGGTATGGTTAGCTGAGTACTGGTGGCTCTGCGGCGCAAGAGGGCGAGCTGTAGTCGCAGAGGTACTCGGCTACGATGGATCAATCGATGCTCAGGATGCATTTTAAACTTCGTCAAGCATTCCATTGGCCAAACCTAAACATATGACTCACTGCAGACTTGCTCAATGTGAATTCGCCAGACTTCGGACTTCAGACTTCAAGAAAATCGAAGGTAGAAGAAAGGCTGTGAACTACTTAGATTTCAGACTTGCTAAACGTCCCTAATACTCGCAAATTACTTATTTTCGTACCTGTGTGATATTTCATTATGTCGCACCAAGAAGATAATCTCGCTCAATCATCAAGTAAAAATTGCATTCTGCATTCCACCCTGATACATCTGGTCGGATTCTTGTACTCGGGCGATAATTTGCTCACTTACAGCAGGAAAGATTCGTTGTTTTGAATGACAGAGAGCGAGCGTCATAATCGCGCAAAATGGTTGAGAAAGACCGCTTAGCGTGCTCCAACAAAAAACACCAACATCCTTCGTGATTGCAAGGAAAATTGGTTTGCCAGCAGCAAAAACGCTGCGTAGAACCTTTTACCCATATTGTACGACTTGTTCAGTCTAAGATTTGAATAAAGTTGAGAGAAGGTAAACATACATCAAGACAAATACACAAATTTATTATTGTTGTAAGGGACGATGGCACTGGTCGCTTCACTCTTAGGGCGCGGGGTCATCTGATGAGCAAGCTGATCTACCAACAAGTGGGCTCCGCGAAAAATCCGTGATGTCTGCAGACGAGAAGAGGCAGACCTTGATACAGTGAATGATTGCCGAAGGTGAAGAAATGCCTTGTGAGGCTTTCAATGCAACGTTTACGAAGGATGTGTCTCAGTGATGGTTTGGTGTACTAGAAGTGTCAACTAGTTGTGAATGCACTAGTAGTACTTTTGAATTGGTCGAAACAATTTGATCGTGAAAACCTCAAAAATTTAACCAATGAAAACTCAATCCTTACCAGCTCAATAAGTTCAATGGAATACAGAACCCAACGTCGAAATATTATTGCCTAATACAAATATCAAGTTATTTCTCTCGTACCACGGGGGAAGGATTTCTGTTGTTCCCTGTAGGGCGATGCATGGATATTCTGGACGGCACTTAATTCCTGGACAGTTCAGATACATTATAGAATAGTTGCGTGAAGAAACTCGTTGGATATGAAAACATTCGAGGCTGTATTTTTTACAGAAGTGATTGTCGAGCTTTGGGGCAATTTATTCTCGCCCATTGAATAAAATTATGACCACGACCACAGACTTTCAAACATGCCGGCGATGCATCAGCAGATCATTGACACAATTGCACGCGTCGAGGCAGGGAAGTCAATGGCCGCAGTCGTTCGGAGGTCCACTGTCTCCAGATCAAAGCTCTTTAATTTTATTCAGATTCTGCTGTCATGCTGTGGGCAAACGGGGGCCTCGCCAAGCAATCCCCACATCCATCATACGCGACATTGTAGAGTGGATCGCCCGATGCAGCGACACGGAATGTCTGTTCAACGTGCGGACGTGATCTGCAAAGCCAACGAGATCTTGACCTCCAGAGTGGAGTCCCACGAAGTTTAACCAGAGTACCAGAAGTGCTGTGTGCGGAACCCGATCATTCTCAACTGACTTGCTCAAAAACTGTCGAAAGGACGAAATTCAGACACAAGAATATAATAACATTTTTAGAAATCTAACCAATGCTTGTCTTGGCTTTGCATACACAGCTTACAACGTGTACAGCGTCGACGAGACCAGTTTTAAGTCCAAATCGCAAAGCAAGGAAGTAGTTGCGATCCGTGGATAATCTAACGTCTGGTTTGACGTCAAAACGCCACCGTACCACCTCACCGATGTCATTGTCAGGACTGCTTCAGATACTAATAACATTCTGGATTTCTATTAATTGGATACAAAAGACAAGACGTTTTAGACCGTCTAGAGTTGGATGCCCTTGAAAGGTATGGTACTTTTTCTGCTCGAATAGAATTGCCGACAAATCACAAAGTGTTTTCTTGTCACAGTCGTTGGCATGATAATATTGTTGTGGAAATTTCGCGGATCGAATGAAAACGAGCCAAATATAGAACACATGAATACAAATCATTTCGACTTTCTGCGCTTTGTGACTGGCTTGGATGCGTTGGAGTGCAGGCAACGTTGGAGTGTCCCTCGAGGGAGTGTACGTCATCACGGCAGATATAATGTAGCAAATGAACGAGTGAATGACAGCAATGTCCAACG